CCCAACCTTCCTTCCGAGGAGTGGCTGGTAGGTTTGAACCGCCAGCCTTCTGGTGAGCAGTCAAGTGCCTTAGGCACTATGCTACCAGAGCTCCTAATGTAAATTATGGACCAGTTAAATTTCAATATGGGTTCATCAATTCACTGTACTTTCTAAACAATTTTTTTAAAAACCTAAAACTGTTCTAAAAAATAGTATCAATTTTTTAAATGTACAAATTTTTTAAAAATAAGAGATCAAAACAGACCAAATTAAACCAAAACAATCTTGAAGCAAGCAAAAGGGTGAAAAGACTAGAAACTCTGTTGGGAAGTAATTGAGACAGTTAGAGGAAGAGGAAAGTAAAGGACAGTACAAAGACAAGACTGGAGGGCAGGATAGACCCACAATATACAATAAAACCATCCGTCCCATACACAAGCTCATCACGTGCTAAGTACAGGACTAGGCACTGGGAACACAAAGAATCAAACAATCAGAGGCTGCCCTTGAGGAAGGAAGGAGCCGGTTCTGTGTGGACATCAACGTAGAATCAGGAATAGTGGGTAGAAACAGTAAACAGACTTTCTCCTGATCAACTTATTTCCTCATTTAGAATCATGTCTACAGCACATACTTATATCCTTCTGTATCAATGAGAAGGACCTCTAGTAGCATAATGGTTATAGCATTGGGCTGCTAACCAAAAAGTCAGCAGTTGTAATCCACCAGCTGCTCCGTGAGGAAAGATGAGGCAAGTCTACTTCCATAAAGATTTACAGCTTTGGACACCCTATGGGGCAGCTGTACTTTGTCCTATCGGGTCACTGTGAGTCAGAATGGGTTTGGTTTCGGAGTATAGGGTCTCTATCCACAGCTTGTTGGTTTTTGTTTATTGTTTTATAGTCTTCCACATCCTCACTTAGACTCAACTCACATAATTCACTTACTACCTTTGAGTATTAGTGTTCACTTTGTGTCAGTCTGGTAGGTGAACGGTTTATCATACATTGATTTTAATTTGCATTTACTTCACTAATTACTACGAAGACTGGTAGCTCCTGCCTTGTTTTTAAATGAAGCATCAGTTTTGAAGACACAGCCAGAAGTCCTGGGAAAAAACAGAACTTTGGTGAATGGAGGGTCATTTGGCAATTTCAGTCAAAAGTAGAAATCTATTTGCCCTTAGACCAGCAATCCCAGTCTTGGGAAATCTGCATTCATTCATATTTAAAAGAATATTTGCACTAGCATTATTTCCAATAGCAAAAGACTAAATAACCCAAAGGACTTTCAACAGGCAGTTGGAAACATTAACAAATATAACACTGGCATATCTACATATTAGCGTATTATATAACTGTGTTCTTTAAAAAGGAGAGAGTATATGTAAAGATATGGGAAAATTACTAGAATATATTATTAAAGAGAAAAGCAAGGTGAAGAACAAGATAAAAAGTAAGCAAGAATAAACATTTCTATCTACACAAAGGTCAGCCACAGGGATCCAGGTGAGGAGAGGAACTCAGGCATGCCCAAAGCAGCAGGGCGGGAGAGCAGGAAAAAGGGGATTAAAAGCCAGGAACCTGGACAGAGGAGCAGTCACCCACAGGGATCCAGGTGAGGAGAGGGAAATCAGGCACCCCCAAAGCAGC